AGGTGCTTGGGTATAAATTTACCTGCAGAGGAAAACTTGATGTCAGCCACTGCTTCTGACGGCCCAAGTCCTTCCTTTAATGTGATGTCTTCAGCAACAAGAGGAGGAAATTCTGCCATTCGTTCTTCTCCACCCATTGGAACCTATCAGTGAAATAAAATGATTTTTTAAAGTTCAAGTTACGTTCTCTGTAACTGTAGCATCATATACATCACTGATCATTCTGTACAAGGAAAGAATAAAATCCCGAACACGCAACTGCTGTAAAAAGCATGGAGCTCTGTGATGACACGGAAACTACAGATCCTAGAGCCCAGAGCTACTGTTGGGAATTGTCTTAGTTACTTTCTAGTTCCTGGGACAAAATACCCGACACCCACAAGGTAAAGGAGAAGTTTATTTAGCTCAGTTTGTAGAGGTTTCAGTCCATAGCAGGCTTGCTCCAAGGCGGGTGGCATGGCAGAGGAGAAAGTCCATGGCAGGCAGGAGGCAGGCAGGAGGCAGGCAGGAGGCAGGCAGGAGGCAGGCAGGAGGCAGGCAGGAGGCAATGAGCCTCCCTTTTCCTTTTAATCTATCCAGGCTATAAACCTGTCAGTTGGTGCCACCCATACCCAGATGGCCCTCCCCATTATCCACTCTCAGAACTGTGCTAAACCAATCAGTGGACTAATGTAGTTATCACATACCCTTAATGTGGTGCTGGGGACTGAACCCAGGGCCTTGTGCATGTAAGGCAAGAGCTCTGCCAGAGCCACATCCCCAGCCCAATCACACACCCTTTATCTGTATTTACACAGCTTAGAATCAGCCACCTCCGAAAGCTCCATCTATAAGCACATAACTCTTTGGGGGAACATTTAGATAAAAGCTGTTACAGGCATGTATCTGTCAGCAACGTATGGACAGGAGAACGAAGCTTTACTTATTCTGATCTGATAGTCCTCCATCAGGCTTTACATGGTGTGGTTGTTACGCTTAATTATGTCAACTTGATTGGATTGGGAGCTGCCTAGATTACTAAAGCACACTTCTGGGTGGGTCACAGATGTGAAACTCTGAGTACTATGTATGTCCCTTGCCCCCCTCCCCCCTCCTTGTCATCCTGCTCTGACCCCTGGCTACGGTGGACTGGGCAGCTCTCCTCCATAATGCCCTTCGGCCATGTACTTATGGTTTTAGAGCCAGGTGGCCATGGACGGAATCTCCAGAAACCATGAGCTAAACTAAACCTCTCCATTACGTGTGGGTCCCGTGTCCCAGTGACTGGAAAGCTGCCTAACACAGAGAACTGGTCCTGGGAGCGGGGCCGCTGCTGGGACTATCTGACAATGCAGTTTGGAAGCCTTTGGAACTGGTTTGCAGAATGATGTTGGAAGGGATTGGAGATGTGGCTGGAGCTCTAGAATGCTTTACGAGTGATTGGCTTTACGAGTGATTGGCGAGAGCTCTGAAAAGCAGAATGCAGAAAGCAATGCAGACAGTAAAGGCCAGGCTCAGGGGGCTTCAGGTGGGAACCTGGATTTCCTTGGCAACTAGAGGCCATGTGTGTTACACTCAGGCAAAAATTTCTGTAATATTTATTTTCTGAGACTTTATGGGAAACTAAGATTAAGGGTACTGGACTACACTTGGCATAGAGGTACACACACAAAAATCCCAGCGCTCTAGGAGGCTGAGGGTAGGGGCATTACAAGTTTGAGCCCAACCTGGATAACTTGGCGAGACCTTGCCTCAAAATAAAAAAAAGGGCTGGAGATTGTTTTAGCTTATGTCTAGATGTCCCCCCAAGCGTTGTAGGATCATAGGTGCGAGCTTTCCGAGGTGGCTGGATCTAGTGTGTGATGTAGTGTGTGATGCTGGGATCAAGGGTGTGTGGTTACTAAACCAGTTCACTCATTGGTTCAGCATAGTTCTGCGTAGGATTAAGGGTGCCCCACCCTGGTGTGAGTACGACCTGCCCTAAGAGTGTGTACCCTAGGTAGGACACGAGGGACAGAAAGTGTTGCTGCTCGCCCTTTGCTGCTTGCTTGCTGCCTTCTGCCTGCCCTGCTTTGCCATGAACAGTTTCTCCTGTGAGGCCCCTCTGCCATGCCACCCTACATTGGAACCAGCCAATTATGGACCGAAGCCTCTGTGAACTGTAAGCCAAATAAACCTTTTCTCCTTTAACTTTGGGAGTCAGACATTTTGTCTCAGCGATGAGAAAAATAACTAAGATAGGGATGTAGTTCAGTGTGAAAGCCCTGAGTTCAATCCCCAGTACTGGAAGGAAAAAAAAAAAGCAGTACACTAACTGATCTGACAGAGGAAATTCCAAGGCAGTCCAACATGATGTTCAGGCTCCTGCAAGGGTGCTACTGCCTGCTTTTAGCCAGCTTTATCAGGGGCAAAAAACAAGACAGAAAAATCTGAAAAATTAAACCTTTAGCTTAAAGGGAACCATGAGTAAACTTGGGGCCAAAGGAGGTGTGGCTGCTGAGATTAGTACCAAGTGCTCTGTACAGGGACAAGAAAGATGCCTTGAGGGCATCTCAGAAATCAAGGGTGGGGACATGGCTCAGTGGCACAGCACCTGCCTGGCAAGTGCAAGGTCCTGAGTTTGATTCCTGGTACCAAACCAAACAAAAAAAAACACAACACAACAAAACAAACAGCAAGACCTCACTCAGCACAGCCTCAAAGGCACAAAACTGTCAACCTTTCCCTTGAGAGCTCCTGAGACCTTGAGAAGGGCCACCTAGAGTTAGTTCCTCAGGATTCATTTTTTTTTTTTTTCCCCGGTACCAGGGACCAAACTCACGACCTTGTGCTTGCCAGGCAGGCGCTGTGCCGCTGAGCTAAATCCCCAGGCCCCCTCAGGATTCATTTGCCAAGTTCAGCCATCCAGACACTCAAGAGGCCACTGCAGTCCTGGCCCACGTCATGACCCTAGCTGCTGCTTCAGCTGGTAGGTGATGCCTGAATGAATTTATCCCCTCATTAATACATTTGTCCTGCGGGACGCAAGGTGAGTGACGAGGGTCTGTGAAGCACTGCTACAGCTGAGGAAGGAACAATGGATGTGTTTCATCTAGGACACACAGATAAAGCAAGCCATGTGCAACACTCTCAGAAGCGGTCTGAATTACTAGGTGGAAAAGCACTCCGAGTCAGCACATATACAGCAGAGCTGGAGAAAGGATAGTGCAGGAACCTGTCATCTGAGGAGGAGGAGGGGGGGAGAGCGGGACGGCGAGCACATGCTCGGCGTGGGGGGACTACTGACGAGGCTGTCAGTTTGCGCTGCTCTCAATGCCGTGGAATTACAGAGGGAACAGAGGTGAGCAGCAGAGATACCATGGGCGCCTCTTTGCTTTGTGCACCTGCACTCCGCCCAGGTGGGTCCTGTACCTACCTCTAATGAAGCCTTCTCCTGGCTCTTAAAGAATGAGACCTGCTTTACATTTTGGAAAGATTTCCCCAGCAGGGTATTCTTCACTTTTTGGGGGGGGGTACTGGAAATTGAACTCAGGACGCTGCTCTTGCCAAGCAGGCACTGTGCCCCCAGCCCCCAGCAGGGCATTTTTCCACCACGGTACTGTTGACATCTGGAGCTAAGTAACTGTCACGGACAGCAGTGCTGTGCATGGCAGGATGTTTAGCAGCAGCTCTGGCCTAAAGTAGCCTTTAAGTTACAAAACTCAAAAATTCCTCCAGGTCCTGTGAAATGACCTCCAGGGAGGACCGAGCCTAGGCTGAGGACTGTGAGACACGGTCAGGAGTGGAGTGTGACGAGAGAGGAGGGGACAGAAGCTGGTCTCTGAGAACTGGGTGTGGTGGCACAAGCCTGTCACCTCAGCCCTCTAGGAAGCTAAGTGGGAGGACCCCAAGTTCAAGCCCAGCTTGAGAACTTAGCAAGACCTGCCTTCAAGCAAACAAACAATGCCGAGGATGTAGCTGGATGTAGCTCAGTGTGACGGTCCAGGGTTCAATTCTCCGTACTGCCAAAATAAAACAGCAGAAACACTGGACACTGACAGAATGTTTAAAGATTTCAAGAGTAGTGCAATGACAACAGCTGGATTTTACCAGGCTGGATTCAGAGAGAATCAGGAGGCAGAACTGACCTGGGTTTGAGAGATTAGGAAGAAAACCAACTGGCAAGAAGAGTCTCAAAATAAAACAACCCAAGAAACTGTGTTCAACGGGGGAGGAGGCCGGTTGTTACTTGGAAGGTACCAACGGTGTTCACTGGAAAAACCAGCCAGATGCCCGTGGGCAGAACCACGTGACAGCTTCCTTTTACGTGAGCTCTGTTCCAGAAACCGAGGCAGTTCTCCTTCCCGCGAGTCTCACACTGTGTTTTACCCACTGTCTGCCTAGAAAGTGAACCAGTGTGAGAGCAGGAGGGAAGTGCAGACAACTGACAAAGCCTCAGTGCTCGGCGCTCATCTCCCCGGAGGAGCCTGCGAGTGTGGAACGCTGAATGCACGGCAATCACATCAATGTAGTTTTCATCTCAGCCTGGCTTCCGTAGGAAATGCAGGGAGAAAGCAGTATGTACTTCCCAAGTCGGGCTCATTTTTTAAATCTTTTTGGAGGGAGTGAGAGCCAGGCACGTATATTTTTTGCAGTGTAGGGCACTGAACCCAGGGCTTTGTACAGACTGGCAAATGCTTCACAACAAAGCTATGTTCTTCTTTTTTAAAAAATTATTTTCAGTGGCGTGAGGACCAAGACTTTGTTGTCGTTGTCCCCCTCCCCCCCCCCATACCGGGAATCGAACTCATGACCTTGTGCTTGCCAGGCAGGCGCTGTGCCACTGAGCTGAATCCCCAGCCCCCGAGGACGAAGCCTTTGGTTTTGCTGTTTTTTGATTTCACAAGACAGTCTTGTTACCTGTCCTTGTCTGCCCTGAATTTGCTATGTAGCCCAGGCCGGCGTGAAGCCTGCACCCCTCCTGCGAGGGCGGGGATGACAGGCCCGCGCCACCACAGCCGGCTGCGCAGCCCTTGCAGCATCCGCGGCCGCACCGATGGCCTTGGGACTCCTGCGGTAGACCCCCTTCATTACCGTCACCACCACCACAGGCCCTCCTGTGTGCACAGACCCTCCTCCAGTCCCAAGAGGCAGGTACGACACAGAGAGGCAGAGGAGCTCTGCCCAACGGTGCACAGCTTTGCCGGGCTGTGAAGACAAGGGACGCAAGGCCATCTGAGCATTTTACCTTTATTTAATCTAAAGATGAGAACAACCCCAACACATTTATAGGCCAAAGAAAGGAGCCGGAGAGCAGGAAAGAGGAGGGGTACCACGTAACCGGCGCCTGGCTCCAGGAATCTGGGAGGAGCCCGGTGAGGTGCACAGGACTGCAAGCTCAAGGCCAGCCTGGGTAATCGGGAGACCCTACCTCAAGTTAAAGAAATGCAGGCCAGGGATTTAGCTCAGTGCTCCCTGGGTTTAATCGCAGTACCCAAAAGAAAAAGAACGCAGGGAGAAAGCTTTTCTCCTCAAATCGGGGCTTCTCAACCGCGACTGCGACCCGGGACGGATCGCCGGGTTGTGCGGGGCCTGTGCGCGGGGGATGCGCAGTGGCTGACTCCCCCAGCGGACGCCGGGAGCTCCCCAGCTGCCCCGCACAGCGCTGCCAACACTGCAGCGAGGACGCGGCTACTGGGGATGCAAATGGTGGCCGGGGTTACTCACGGGCCGTATTTTAAATTGTATTAACTGTACTAATGCAATTACATGAGACAGCCACATGTGGCCGGCGGCTTCCACACTGGACAACTTAGTCCAGAGAGCACACAGATCTACGGTTTTCCTACGATCGACCCAAACCAACATCCCTTTTCACATAAAGCCCACCTCACTCTACAGCCAGAAATCTCCACGCTGAGGGGAGGGCAGCCACGGCCACACAACGGATGACTCTGTCCACACAGGGCCCTCTGGCTATGGGATGTCACAGGGACAGCACCACCACTGAGCAGTCACCCGGCCAGGCCGCCTTACCTGGAGCAACGCGTGGCCTGCGTGCTTCTGATACACAGCGTCCGCCTTGTCCAAGGAAGTGATGTGCACGGGCAGGAAGCTGGAGGCCACCACTGTGAACCAAGCGGACTGGTTTCCCTAAGGACAGGAGCAAAGAGGGAACCGGCGTGTCATGAGACACAATAGAAAGTGAACCACAGCAGGCAACCTCTGTGAGAACTGGCCTGGGAGTGGCTATACCCAAATGATGTTAATGCTACAAAATGGGTATAAAGATGTATCACGGGGTATAAAGAAGCGCAGAATTAACTTACTACGTAAGCCTGGCTCTAAGGGCCTGACCGTACTTCTACGTGAAACAACAGGAAAGCGACGTATCTTATCTGAATTGCTAAGCTAGACGGGGCACTCGCTATCACACTGATGGTACAGTTTTTTTGAGGCAGGTTCTCACTATGCAGTTCAGGCTGGCCTTGAGCTCACTTTGTAGCACAGGCAGGTCTTGACCTTGCTGCGATCCTGCCTCAGCCTCATGAGTGCTGGAATTACAGGCATGCGCCACACGAGGTGACAGTATAGCTCTTTTTTTTTTTTTTTTTGGTACCGGGAATCTAACTCATGACCTCAGGCTTGCCAGGCAAGCACTTATGCTGCTGAGCTATATCCTTGGCCTGGTGACGGTATAGTTTTAAAGACCAGAGCTGGGCATGGTGGCGTATACCTATAATCCCAACACTCAGAAGGCTGAGGCAGGAGGCTCTCTTGGGCCAGCCTGGGCTACATACTGAGATGTTGTCTCAAAAAACAAAATAAAACAAAACAACCTTGACAACAAACACTCAAGGAACAGAGAGAAAAAAAAAAAAGCTAGGCATGGTGGCGCACACCTGTAATCCCAGCACTCAGGAGGCTGGGGCAGGAGGATCATTGCAAGTTCAAGGCCAGCCTGGGCTACAAAGGCTACAAAGTGAGTTCAAAACCAGCCTGAACTGCATGGTGAGAACTCATCTCAAAAAAAAAAAAAAAGGTCTTGTATGTTTCATGGGGAGGGGGTGTATTTTTAAAAAAGAAACTCCCTACACAATCATGAGTTATCTATAGCAACAGCTTGCCAGTCCTGTTTATGTACCTGCTTCATTGAAGTGCGTTTAATGCTTCCTTTCTTTCATTTTTCACATACAGTTTGTCACGCAGTCCAGGCTGGGCTCGGATTCTCAGTACTCCTGCCTCCCCTCGCCTGCCCTGCAAGCTCACATCTCCCGGGCACACTGCTCACCTGCAGAAAATCAATGCGGCCGATGGCGCCCAGAAATAGAACCATTCCTGGTTTAAGCACAAAGGTTCTTGGAACAATGGAATGTGTTGGCAAAACATTACTTACTTCTTCATCTGTTAGAAGATTCAAAATCTGTGAAGTAAATGGCACATTTTTTAGAGAATTACTTTTACTGCAAATAATGGCAATTTGTGATTTACCTGTAAATTACATGATAAAAATTACACCAGCTAGCCACACAGAAAAAGCATACACACTCTGGTTAAAAATTAATGTCGGCACATTGGTGGAGAGTAGTGGCAAAGTAGCTTGACAGGTCTACGAGACTTCCCTGTGTCGGCAGCATCCCCCAACTGTCACCCCCAGGCGGAACCTGAAAATACTGGAGCCCAACACTCAAGAGGTCAAATGCATGTGTGGGGGGCCTGTGGGATGGCTTCCAGTTTAACAGGGTGCAACTCGTGACCTCACGTCCTTGTGGAGAGTGTGCACATGTGAAATACAAATGGTCTCCCCCAGGAGCAGGTCAAGAACTTAAAGAACCTCCTTCTAAATTCTGAACCTTGATGTACTTATTCTTCCGGGATATTCAGCAGAAAAGTGAGAGAAATTTCAGAATCCTGTGCTTTGTGGGAATGACCGCATTTTTCTCTCTTGGCATTAAAAAAGACTGAACCCAGGACTTTGCACCGAGCTACATATCCATATTTAAAAAAAAATACCGTGAAACAGGGTCTTGCTAAGTTACCCAGGTTGGGCTAGAATTTGTGATCTTCTGCCTCAGCTTGCAGGACTGCTGAGATTACCTGAGTACTCCACCCTGCCTGGCTGGAATGAGGGGTTCTGAAGAGACTGGAGAAAACGGAAGGAGAAAGACAGGGAGTGCAAGGCTCCGATGAGCCTTTTTTCTTTTGGTTTTATTCTTTCCGTGGTACGAGGGATTGAACCCAAGACGCACATCTGCTAGTTAAGTGTTCTACCACAGAGTTACATTCTTAGCCTTTCTTTTTTTTATTTTTTAAATTTTTATTTATTTATTTATGTTTGTCCTTTTGAGACAGGGTCTTGCTATGCAGTTCAGGCTGGCCTTGAGCTCACTTTGTAGCCCAGGCTGGCCTCGAACTCTCAATTGTCCTTCTGCCTCAGCCTCCCTAGTGCCAGGATTACACACACATGCCATCACGCTTGGAAACGATACACTTCTTAGAGTATAACTGTAAGTGAATCTGACCAAACAAAGGAAAGAAAGGCCCCTAAGAAGCCAACGTTGCTTCACAGGGAGACAGAGAGATAACGGGGGAACTGGACACTAGACACTGGAGGGAAGGAAGTGATCAAGGAATCCTTGCGGCTGTAGCCTGGATGCACACTGGAGACCATCACTGACCTGGGTAAAGATCAAAGCTGCAAACAACAAAGAGCTATGAGAAGCTGGGTCTGGTGGCGCTCACCTGTAACCCTAGCTACTCAGAAGGCCGATGCAGAAGTACTGAAGTTTTCAAAATAAAATGGACTGCAGTGGTATGCATGACCTCTTCCTCACGCACGTCTCGGTTCTCGTGAATGTCTCCCTAACGAGGGTAACGGCCAGAATGCTAACACAACCAAGCTGCCTGCACTGACCCTAACAGATGAGCAGCGAGCTCAGTGGCATGTGGGTTCTCCCAGAGCGGCCCTTGTGAATGAATAAGAACTGAATCTAAGTGGAAATATACTTCTGTTCTTACTACCAATTATAGTGCTACCTTCTGCAACTTAAAGCAAATGTGAGTCGGGCGTGGTGACACATGCCTGTAAACCCAGCACTTGGGAGGCTGAGGCAGGAGGATCGTTGCGAGTTTGAGGCCAGCCTGGGCTACAAAATGAGCTCAAGGACAGCCTGAACTGCATAGGGAGACCCTGTCTCAAAAAGACAAAAAACCCCCAAAAAACACAAACAAAAAAAATAAAGTAAATGTTACTAACGTTACTAGAATAAATGTTACTAAAATGTTACAAATACATACACAGTTTTCTTTCATAATTCCGGGCGTGTCATAAAACCAGTGAGCATCTTTTACATCTTGTGGGGTCAGTTCTACTCTCGGGGTGGGTTTCTCCACAACCTCAGCAGGTTCATTTTCCATGTCAAAGGCAAGTGAGTCAGCATCAAATTCAAATTCGTTCTTCTGTTCTTTCGAATACAAGAATGTTCTTCCAACTCTTCCTAGAACAAATTATATTGAGGTTATCAGTCATCACTTTAATGCTTTTGACTCCGAAGTTTTTATTATTATTTTTTTCAGCACTGGGGGTTGAACCTACAACCTCATGCATGCTAGGCAAGCACACCACTACTGAGCTACTTCCCCAGCCCTTCTGATTTTATTTTGAGACAGGGTCTGGCCTAAGTTGCATAGGCTAGCCTTGAACTTGTCATTCTTGTGCCTCAGTAGATCGAGTTATAGGCATGTGCGCTGCCATTCCTGGCAGCCAGAAAATTCTTACATTTGCCTCAAACAAGTTCCTAAGACTAATTACAGTGTACCCAGAAGTGAGGCTCTAGGGATACCTGTGTGTCCGTCTTGTAAGGATGAAGTGTGTGGCTGGCTGTGTGCACTGAAGCGGGTGGTGGCAGAATGAGTTTTTAAGGCAAGGCTGAAAAGAGAGCAGGAGCACAGGGAGAGCTTGACCGGAAGCTGCTGCATGGTCAGTGAGCCTCACTTTACCAGCTGTCTCGTCCAGGTTTCCCCCAGTTCCAGCCTTGCCTGTAAGGGCTTGCATCTAGCAAGCCCGGAGCTCCCTCTCCTGCGGAAGCGGGCTGGTCCCACACAGCGGTGTGCAGGGTCTCACAAGGGGCATCTGCACCGCCGCAGGGGCTTCCCAGGGAATCTCACCTACTACGTAACCGTGCTTCTTCAAGGCAGTCAGCTGACTTTGTTCTTGCTCGCTAAGGTCTTCTTCTGACTTACAGGCATCGTTTTTAAGCCTTTTATGCCGTTGAAACATCCTGTAAGGAGTTGGGTTGCAAATAGGAAACTTGAGAAGGTTCAGCGTGGTACCTGGAACAGCAAAGAACAAATGCTTCTAGAGAGGGGACTGGCTGGGCCTGGTGGCAGGCGAATGTGAGGCCGGCCTGCACTACCCAACAGGACCCTGAATCCAAAAAGTCAAAAACAAAGACCGACCCTCCCAAACAAACAAGAAAACCCAAACACAGAAGAGAGGAAGAAAAAAAGCATTTCTGAGAACCTACACTGTTTTCTCCTGTGATTTCTTTCTTTCTTTTTTTTGTTTTTTTTTCCCCTGGTACCAGGAATCGAACTCACGACCTTGAGCTTCCCAGGAATCGAACTCACGACCTTGCGCTTGCCAGGTAGGCAAGAGCTAAATCCCCAGCCCCTTCCTGCGATTTATTTCACTGAACTTTCAGGACAACCATCCCTAAGATTACTCCTACTTTACAATCGAGGACACAGGCTCACAGATGGGCTCACAGGGTAACCCAGAATTTGAATACAAAGTCTGCCCACCGGGTGCACCCCACCTTCACGGTTGTATCCCCTACACAATCTGTGCATTCCTCAGAGGAGATGGGGCACTGAGGGTGGCATGGCTGTAGCCAATTCTGTGTATAATTAAACAAAGCGCAAGACAAAAACCAAACAGGACAGCTAGTTATGTCAACTTAAATGCAAACAGAATCACTAAAAGACCCATTTTTTTCTGGTGACGGAGTTCTGAGGACTCATTATATAGTCCAGGCTGGCCTGTCCTCCTGCTTCAGCCTCCCAAGTGCTGAGTACTTCCTCCTGGTACAGAAGTTTTGCAAATTAGGGGGCTGGAGATTTAGCTCAGCGGCACAACACCTGCCTGGCAAGCGCAAGGTTGTGAGTTCGATTCCTGGTACCAGAAAAAAAAACAAAAAACAAAAAACAAACAAGAAAGAAGTTTTGCAAATTATCACTAAACTGACACTTCTTTTCAACAGAGCCACACACCATTTTCTACTAATGGATGACTCCAGTGTTACAGACGTTTAGTGTAAAAACCTCAAGTATAAATTCAAGGTGTGAAAAGGTCAAGGGGTGGAGGGATGCACACAATATAAAAAGGCTGTACGGCTTTCCAGAAAAACTCAAGCAGAAGGAAGTCACAGCGGAAATTTGCAAGAGAGCAAGAACTTCACACTGTTCCCCGAGGTGTCAAAGTCCAGTGACCAAAACGCAGAAGCGCTCCGTGAGCACTTGTTAGAAAACTGCAATACAGACCGCATTTCCAACCACGCGGCTGAGCCAGGCCGGAGGTGTTCACAGCAGGGGAGACCCGTAAAGGGCCCCGCGATGCACGGGAACGCACGCCGCACGAGACCCGGGCCACGGCCGGCGCGCAGTGCCTCGGCAGGCGAGCCCCCGGGCCTCACCTGGCCAGGGCGAGATGGTGGCCCTGTCGATGGCCTCGGAGCCCTTGGCGGTGCAGTAGTCGGACTCCAGCAGCGCGTTGAAGAGGGTGGACTTGCCGGCGTTGGTGGCGCCCACCAGGTAGACGTCGCCGCGGTAGCGCCACGCGCGCTGAAGCGCAGAGATCAGTTCTTCGACCCCGTAGCCGGTCTTGGCGCTGATCAGACGCACGTCCCTGACCACCGTGCGGGACCCGGCCGACGAATCCCCGCTCTTCCCCGCGTCCGCGCCCCCGCCGGCGTGCTGTGGCCCCTGGTGACCAGGGGCCGGCCAGAGCCCCGCGCGCACGCAGTCGTCCCACAGCCGCTCCCGGAGCCGCCGCAGGTATCCGGGCGCGTCCTGCGGCAGCAGGTCCACTTTGTTCCCCAGCACGATCAGCTGCCTGGGGCCCACGAGCGCGGGCAGCTCGGGCAGCAGGGCGTCGGGCAGGTCCAGCAGGTCCAGCATGTAGAGCACCAGGGCCGGGCCCGGCCTCCGCAGCGCGGCGCTCACCAGCTCCAGGTACTGCGCGCGGGTCACCCGCAGGCGCAGCGCGCGCCGGTGGTGCAGCAGCAGCCAGCAGCGCTGGCACACGGGCCGCGCCGAGCCGCCGCGCAGCTTGGCGTCGGGCAGG